CTTTTCACAATTGTTAGAAATGTATATTATTTACCAATTATTTTGCTTGCAATTGATTTGCAAAGTGCTGTTGCATATTATTAAATGGTTTTCTGATTAATAGCATGTTGATTTATACTAAATGTAGTGGAATAAGCAAGTATATTTGTAAATTTAGTTATATAATTTAGTTGCTGGATTGTATTATAGAGCTGTTGGAGATTATTTTAGACCAATCTCTTGCAGGGAAACCCTGTCTACACTTTTCTTCCACATCCTATTTCAATGTTTTAAGTTGCCACTCTCCTTTTAAAAATTAATTTGCATGTCTGGGTTTTAAAGCAAATACTGTTGCAAAGCCCAGGGTTAAGATAAATTCTTTTAAATGCAGGACAAGATAGATATCTTTTCAGTTTCTTTTCTAGAGGGTCCGGAAAGTGTTAAGTATTTAGTTTGAATAGATATTCATGACCTTGACTGAATCAGTATGTTGTATAGCATTATCAACAAATTCTGTTATAGCAATATAAAATATTAATGTAATTAATAATTATTTGAATAAATATAAGATACTTATATTAATACAGGATTACTGAGTCATGGGATTTCTGAGCTGTTAGGAAACCCTTACTGATGGGGCCTCTGGGGCCCAGAGAGGTTTGGTAGTTACACACACACACACACACACACACACACACACACACGCCAGTTGGTCATTGAGTCAGTTATATGAACTGTTTAATATATTCTGCACTTGAGTACTATACAGGTGCTTATGCTTTGGTATATTTGGTATTTTTAATTATCCCCTAATATTTCAAAAAAAATTTCAACCACAACTTTTGATTTCTGCATTCATCTTCTAAATGTATGTATTACCACTGATTTCTTACAAATTTTTGCTGTTTTACATACACCATCAATATTTTTAGTTTGAAATTCAATCTAAATGGTAAAGAGAATAAAAAAAGAATATAGTGTAAATATTTTAATGTGTTTATGCTTTTTAACCTACATTTTAATAAGCTCTGGTATAATCGTGTATTTCTCCAAGAACGTATTAAGTTTGGTGACTGAAAACAGTTCTCCAAAGAAATGTAACTCACTTTAATTTTCTATGTTCTCTTTTTTATTTAGAGTTTAGTAGTCATATGTTTAAAGTCTAATAGAAGAAAAATCACTGGATGTGAAATCGGGAGACAGGCCCAAGTCTGCTTCTACATCCTCACATTGTTGACTTTAGGTAAGATTCCTATTTGTGCTTCTGTTTTGTTTTCTTTAAAAGGAGCAGTTCAAACTTCAAAGACACTTTCCCACAAGTCAAAGCTATCATGAGCCCCCAAAAAATATTTGACTGAAAGAAATGTGTGGGCATCATCATTTGGCTGCCCAGAATTTTTCATGCACATATACTTGTTATATACATCTGAATTGCTTGTAAGGAAGTTAAGTCTTTTGAGATGTGGACACCAAGAGAAGTGGGATAAGAAAGAAAAGGAAGGGGAAATAAGTTAATGACAAAGGAGGAACGGTAGGTGGTTGAATGATTCCTCTTTTACTTCTTTATATCTACAGTCTAGTTATTCTTATTTGAAAACCTACTGGCACCAGGTACTCTGAACAGGGATGAGTAATATGTAATTTTTATCTTTACTGGGTTACATTTGGCCCAAGGACAGTTGACAGCTGTCAGTCAGGTGTCTGGTCAATGAGGAGATACATATAAAGCTGCCAAAATATTTTTGTTTCTTTAAATACTTACAAGTAAATCATTTTCATTGGAAACTTCATTGTCTTGAAAGTAAATAGATTGATACTCAATATAATTTATTGAAGTTAGTTGCTGAGGAATCAAGATTGTCTTTGTGAATATACAAGGTAAACAAAATGTTTTTCAAATGTTTCTCTAAATCAGAGAAATAATTGCTTTTTCTCCAGTATAAATAAGCTGGCCTTAAGATATGAAGATGTATTGCAAATAATGCTTAAAATCCTTATGTTGTCAAATTAATCTTTTAGGGCACATATGAGTCATTGCAACTTAACGCCACAAGTTCTGACTAGGACTTATTAAAATAAACCATTTCTATATTTTGAGGGAGTTAGGATAGGTGTTTTTGTGACATGAAAGTTGAAGTTTGATCAGAAAAGGACAGACATGTAGCTGCATATCAAACTAGGAATCAAAGTTTCTCTTAATTAAAAGTAAAAGCCATGGAGTTTTAAGTTAACCCACAATTCAGGATGTGGTTAAAATAATAAATTTTAGTTCTTGAGAAAATTTTTGCCTAAACCTAACATTGTTACTAATAGGTTCAGTCATACTTTAATAATTCACAAGTATCATATAAAATAGTTTGGAAGAAGTTTTTTTTATTGCTTATATTTGGTGTGAATTACAAATAGTATAATAATTGTAGCCAATAATAATGCACATAAAAACGTAACGAATATAATTCTGAAGCCAACTTCAGAGTGTGTGTTCAGTTGTGTTGTATTTAGTTATCTCTAAAAGCGAGTGCTCTGGTTCTTTAGGGATATAGTATTTAACTGACTAGATAAATAAAAAGAAGTCATCGAGTGCAAGGAGTACATATTCATTCTTTAAAGGACTAATGAAGTTCTCTAAAAAATTTAGCAACTATGGTTACTCAGGTGCCAGAATCAATATAATGAAGAAAAATTGTACACAAAATAGCACTTTGAAACCACAATATATTCCTTTTTAAAAATAAAACATGCTTTAATTTTCTGAACCATATTCTACATGTAATACTTTATAATGAAAATTAGATTTGGGTTTTAATTTTTAATATATGGGTCCATTAAATGGAGACAAGATTATGTTTTTAAAATATTAGATTTTTTGATTAGGTGGATCATTTCTGGTACTTTTTAAACCACAAATATTTCATAATTTTAATCAGCAATTGTTATTCTAAAAGAGTATGATATTCAGAAATTTGTGGCGTATTTGTGTCATTATTGATTTGTAATTTGTTTTAGATATAATGGTCATTTCAAAAAAAGTCAGATCTTGTTATCTTCCCAATACAGAACTGCGTTAAACATGTAGATTGAAAATTATCTATGGGATCATCAGAATGAAACAATTGCCTCATAGTATTAGTAATTTATATTGGTGGGCCTTTCTCTTCCTAAACACTAATTCTACCCCCAACAGCTCAGAAAATTGATTTTATGCATAATAATTTATAGCATTCTTGATCAATGTATGCTGTGTGTCTTTTACATTCATTAGCCCATATTGCTTATGAATATGGAATTTAGTTATTAAAATGGTTTCATATGTTTACTATGTATAGTCCCTTGCTTTGAGCTCCTTACTTGCTTAAATAAATGTTTTCAATTTGCTATAATACAACAATTTGTAGAGAAATGCTTGAAGCATGGTTAAAAGAATGAGTTCTTGAAATAAAGTAACTTTTTAAAAATATGCCCTAACATGTGGTCTTGTTTTTCCATGTTTTGCATTAATTAAAATCCTATTCTGAAAATAAAAATATTTTTGCCTAAACTTTTGAATTCATAAAATAAAAATACCAAATATATAAATGTACTAATTTTGGAAATCAGTGACGTAAAAACATGTTTTAGAACTGTCTTGGTTATTTATTTCAAAGAATTTTCTCTAAAGAAACTTTTTCTAAAGTAATGAGAAAATGTTGCCACTTTATATTTTTAAATATTTTGTGCAATACATGTTTTTAAGCAGTGTATTAAAAATAAATTAATTTAATATTCTTCCTAATCATATTCCTGTCACATGCACACATTAAAAAATACAAGCACATGAAATGTTTAAAAAGAGCATGTACCATTTCACATTTCTACTTGGAGATCTATTTAAAAAATAACATTTTATTCACAATAGACGATGGCAGAATTAGGGGGAAAAAAGGTGAAATAATATTTATGTATTTATTTAAATAGTCTAATGTCATATATGTAATTCTTCATCTTTCTGATATTGAAGATAGAAATGAAAGAGACCAACATTAAAAGTATAACGTATTTCCTTTAAAGAACTTGTTTTGTTTAAATTAAAAAAAATTGTCCAATGGTAACTGCTCCACTTTCTATGCTAGGCAAACCCACTGTTGAGTTAGTTGGCTCTGATTCCAATGGTCTCATCAGCTTTCTGAATGTAGGTACCTCTGCAATGCCTCTTCTAGGACAACAAAATCAACTTTTAGAGATTAAAAAATATATTTTGGCAATTGAAACTCACCAGTGCCTTTCTGCTTCTCCAGGAAGTTGTACCCGTCAGCACCTGCTGAGGGCTTTGTTGTCCAAACTCTGACAGGTAAAAAAATTCCTGTAGAATAAAGCCAGACCAGCTGGCTTTGAAGAGAAACCCCCCAGTTTGGGCTGCGTTTGCCTCCTCTCCTTTTCTATGAAGACCCAGCCTTTCCCCCCTTGATCGTCAAGCCGTAAGATGCGTGATCCCTGTGCACAAGTGTCTGGCAGGCCAAGGTGCACCTGTTCCTGTCACTCTGGAGTAAATTTAGCTGTAAAGGTATCACTGACAACCAGACCTTTGTCAGTGCTGGCAAAAGAACACAGAACCGCTTCCCTCCCCTCCCCCCTCCAAGCCCCTGGGCTGCTAGTTCAAATGGAAAATATCAAATCAAAAGTCTATCCAAAAATCATTCCTAAAAAAATGAGATTGCTTTCATATGGTAAAAAAGTAAGTTTCCTTATTTCATACAGACTTCAAAATTACATTTCCAAGAATGATCTTGGAACAAGACAAGTTTTTGTTCAATTAATTGTGGCTGGAAACTTTTTAATGGAAACATACCACACACTTCCTTCATTTCAGGTTATTAAATTGTGTTAAGCATTAAAGTTAGTTGCCATTTGTTCTTTTCGATCCAAAGAAATATTAGAAGGTTAAAACTTATCACATAGGAGGATTAATCACACTACCAAAATTAGAAAGCATGTAGCTCTGAGAGACTGAATGTCAAAATTGTATGCTCATAGCACTTAAACTGTTGGGAACCTAGTATCCACTACAACATTTAAAATGGCAGCTCATGTCTGTGAGTGTTTAGGAGCTGGCTAAAGCTAGCATTCTCTTAGTCTTTGATTAAGGTAAGGACATTTATCATTTATGCGATTTTTTAAAAAGGTTAATTTCTTTACTGATAGTTTGAGAACAATTCCTTTTGAAGGAAAGTAGAGAGGCAAGCAGTGTTCACTGATATGTCTGACATAAATATAGTAGTCAAGATATTAAAGCAGACCAAGGAGCAATGTGCTTAGCCAAAGAATTCTGAACTTGTCTTTAATAATTATGATTTCTTAAGTGGTGTTAAAAAGAGTTGTACAAAGTACCTGTTCTACCATATTATTACTGCTGTTTACAAGGTTTGGGTTTTTTGAGAAAAAGAAATCTGGGTCAAAATAAAAAAAAATGCTTTGTAAAATAAACAAAGTTCCTATTTGCTTACTATATATAAACAGCCACTCACCAAACCTCATTTCTCCGCAGGGCACCACTTTCAGATAAAAACATAGACCTGAATGGCATCATCCAGTCTCCAAGGAAACCATGTAAGTACCTCTCTCACTGTGTACTTCTCTTATTCAGAGTTTAAAAGCTGGCTGAGTACTGAATAAGTGAGTGTTTTTATTTAATAATTATACAGGAGGTAATTTTTAGGAGCCAGCTAAAAAGAAGCAGGTTCTTGATTGCTACATGCGTCACAACAAAACCCTTATGTTTTCATCATATTTCATAAAATTATGTATTTGGTCTCAATGTCTCCATCAATACTCATTCTTAGGTACAAAACAGCTACTCAAAGTCCTAATGAATTGAGAGTTTCAGATTTTTCCAAGGCCCATTAGTGTTTGAGAAAGAGTGTTTCACAGGCCTTGTGCTAGGAGTAAGTAGTTACCTAATTGTCATAAAACTAAATTTTAAAAATTAAGAAAAAATTGCTTGGAAAATATTTTATTGGTAAACATTGATAGAAATTTATTGGATTTTAGAGTTGCTTGGAAAATGAGCAAGCAAACAAAGAGATGAGGTTATGAATTTAAACAATGCAAAGAATCTTGAAAGCGAGTATAATTTTCAAGATTCAAAAATCTGTTTACAGAAAAGTTTGGGAAATTGGGATGCTATTTTCTTTTTCTTTTTTGTCTGCCTCCAAACTAATGTATATTTTTATAGCTAATTTCAAGGTTTTAGTTGATTTTCAGAATGATAGAATCTACTGTGATTTAATTTTTAAACAATATGCTGTTCTGGAAAAGGATGCGTTCTAAAATACTTGGAAAATTCTTTTAAGTATATCTTTACCTAGACTTTATTATTTTTTATAGTTGCATTTATACTTTTGTAAAAGATTTTATTCATTTATTTTTAGAGAGAGCAGAAGGGAGGGAGAAAGAGGGGGACAGAACATCAATATGTGAGAGCTACAGCAATCCTTTGCCTCTCACATGTCCCCAACCTGGGACCTGGCCCAGAACCCAGGCATGTGCCCTGACTGGGAGTCGAACTGGCAACCCTTTGGTGCGCAGGCCAGTGCTCCATCCACTGAACCCCACCAGCCAGGGTGCATTATATACTTTTAAAATCAAATCTTTCAATACTAAATAATTAACCATTATTGTTTATTTTTTCATGAAAATACTTAAAATCCTATACTCATGTAATTATACATTTCTCTCTCTCTCTTTTTTTACTTTTTACTATCTGAATAAGCTATATGGTTTATCTAGTCTTTTAAATACAGACATTTTACTTTTCATCAAGGTTTTCAGGAGTTGTATTTGAACACAGCTGGTTTGGCCCTGTGGTTTGGGAGTTTTGCATAGCCTTTTCACTTGCGTTAGTTACTCCTGTATTTCTATTTTTCCTCTGCAACATGGTTCCTTCCTAAGCATAAATGATAGAGAGAATCTCACTCATAATTTCCTGTTGAATCCGACAGACTCTCATATTTAAATTCTTACTGCAGGAATGTCCCACTTTCTCACATAAGGATGTGAAATGGCATTGTTTATGTATTTCTATGTTTCTGTCTTTTTATATATGTTAAAAAATGCATCTTTCTGAATTGAGAGACGGTAAGTTGCGATAGACTAAAGAATTTGCTGGAACTCTGGAAGGGTGTAAGAGCCTCCTCACCTGGTAGGGGAACCTGGCTGGGAAGTGAGTTTTTTTAATGCTTGTTACAAATTTCACAAGTGTGTAGTTTGAGGCCTGAACAACTCTCCTCTAAAATAGGAATTTCTTGCCACAAAATATGGGTTTGGACTTTGCTGGGTAAACTTGGAAGCAGAGCAAGGTTAGAATAGGTCTTTATAAAGAAAGAAAATGCAAATTGAAGAGGAGGACTGACTAATGTTATAATTCCCTATCTTGAGGAAATGGAATCTTTTGAAATTCTATTGTCCTTGTAGGGAAAGGATAAAAGAAAATCTACACTGCAATGACTGCGGCATATTTTTAACTATTTACATTAGAATATAGATTTATTAAGAAAAATTATTTAAATTTGATATGATTAATTCAACCTCCTGTATCAAAGGAAAATGACTTGGTATAAATAAAATAATATATGCACATCCATTCATCAGTAGTGAACTCTTTAATAAAGACCATCATTATTCAATAGAATATTCTGTGGTGATGGACACATTCTGTATGTTCACTGTCAAGTATGGTAACCAGTAGATGCATGAGGCTACTGAGCACTTGAAATGTGAGTAGTGCAATGGAGAAAAAAAATGTGAATTTTATTTAAATTTAATTAATTTAAATTTACATAGGTCACATGTGACTTATGTCTACTGTACTAGTATTGTGTCTTCATCAGAATTCAAAATGTCCTCTTGCAAAGAATTTCTAATCTGTTGGTATTCTATCATACATTATCATATTTTATATTTACTTTAATATTTGCATTATCATTGAAATGGAATTGCTTTATAACATTTTTCCAGAAATGAATGTCTTTAATACTGTTGATGGGAACACATTGTAACATTGTTTTATAAGCCTGGTGTAGCAAATAACCATTATAAACAAGACTGTGTCTAAAAAGAAAACAGTCTAAAGAAACTTTAACTATGGTGATAAATATTTTGAAAAATTCAGTCACAGCTCTGCAATACATCCTTGCAAATAATTCTCAAAATGTAACAAGCCTATAAAAATACCTACTAGCCTTGATTCCCCAAAGCTAATTCTGCTTTCAAAACACACATCAGGTTTTAAATCTGCTCTCATGACCTTTTCAGGCACTTAGTGAAAATGAACATTAGGATGCATGATGATTATTTTAATAATATTACTAGTACATTAATATTATAGACGGAATAATTACCTAAAAATATACTGACAACTTAAAATATATTTTGTAGTTTACTGGTTATTTGTAGGATACTAAACTAGAGACAATGAATGAAGTTTTTTAAAATAGAAGATACAACAGTCATCTTCATAGGGACTCCATTTATTGGATTTGAGCATATCCTTTTGGATGGGTAGGGTTCATATGGTAAGAAGTGAGAGGAAAATTCTTCTTTTGGCAGAACTTTTGATGAGCTATTCAGAGTGTCCCTATTATTGCAAAACAATCAGGTCCTAGATAAAACATACCTTCTAATGAATTATGTGACTTGAAAAATATTCTGAACATCTCTGAAAATTCTGGACATCCCTCAACTTATAAGTAAGATACCAAAAAGTGTGAATGGAGTTGAGAAAAGTGCAAACAGGAAATGGAGGAATGGCAAAATTGATTTCGATGAGTTGTATTGCAAGGCTGCTGTTGGCAGTATAGCAGCTACATTCTCTATTAGACTTTTCATAAACCTAGCCTTATTAAAAGAACAGGAGGAAATAAAAACCACCCTTATAGACCCAGTGTTTTGTTCTCCTTTGATGTTTTTGGTACCTTCATTAGGTAGTCAACAACTTGCATAATGACAGATCTATTTTCAGAAAAGAATGTCTATCCTGGAAAGTCAGTGACTTGTGTGGGGAAAATGTGATCTCCATGAAGGGAATCCTACAAATCACAGTTTTCAATGTCCTTGTAAAATATTACCTCTGATGTCTCTACACCTGAGACATTGTTTCCATTCAGAAACATGTACTGTGACCTCTAAGTCCTTAACCACTGCCTCAATTCGTTAGGTATTTATTTCTGTATTTTAAAGTTTATCAAAGTTTTTAGTATGTGAATTCCAAATATATTAAAAATAGAGAGACTAATATAATGAACTTACATACAACTACACCTGCCTTCATTAAGTGTCATCTCATGGGCAATTTTGTCTCATCATTTCTACTTCCCACTTCTCACCAAACTATTCTGAAGCCAGTCTCAGACCTGCCATCATTTCATCCTTTAATACTTAACAGGTCTCTTTAAAGGATTAGTAGTCACTTTTTAGCTGAAAATAGGAACCATATCTAAAAAATGAATTGCATTTATAGTCAATATTTCCTTATGATTATCAAATTTGTAAAATCAGTATTCAGATTTTCCCAATTGTCACATAACTTTTTATAATTACTTTTTACTGTTTGAAACAATACAAACAAGGTCCATGCATTGCAATTGGTTGATATTTCTCTTCTTTAATCTATAAGTTTTCCCCCATCTGTTTATTTTTCTTACTTGTTGAGAAAACTGGATTGTTTGTGCTATTGAGCTTTCCATGGTTTATATTTGCCGATGCACTCCTGTTTAATAAGGAGTTGTTTAATAAGTTCCTTCGTCCCATGGCTTTCCTATTAATTGGTAATTAGGTCTAGGCACTTGACCAGATGTATTTGGAGGAAGCTGGGCAGGACTGCTGGTTCTCTCACTTTTTGTGATGTTAGCAGTTTTGATGAACACATCTAGTTATTCCCTAGGGTTAAGGAATACCCATTCTTGCATAGTTTCTTCACCTATTTGCCCAGATCAGTACTCGGCTAAATCCCTGAATGAGACTCTCTGCCGTTTTCAGCTCTCTGTGTGCAGCGCTTCTCTGCCAGGCGCTCTGTCCCGGGAACTGGGGCCACTTTGTTCCCCCATACTTTCAGTTCTGTTTCCTCCTGCCTCTTGAGTTACCCAACCTGTGCCACTGCCAGAAAACCTTCAAAACAGTAAGCAAGGGAAGCATAAGATTCACCTCCTTAGCTTTTCATCTCCAGGGACAACTCTTCTTCATTGCCCATGTCTTAAAAATCATTGTTTCATGTATTTTGTCAGTTTTGTTGTTGTTGTTGTTGTTTTAGGATGAGAGTATATCCAGCCCCTTTTAGTCCACCTAGGCTAGAATAGAGAGTCTCCCCAATTTTTTCTTAAAAATAGTTCAGTCATAGCTTATTAATTAAAACAACATCTTAATATGGAGCTCAATGTTTAAAACAAACTGGAAAAACATTCTAATTGAAGTGTGCATGTATCTCTGTGTGTGTCCCCTTTGAACACTGCTATAGTCTTAAAACTGCCAGTGTACTTTCAGGACCTCTGGGCTGACATTTTCCCTCCTATTTTATTTTCTGCCATTTAGAGGCAATTGCATGGTTCATTCATTCT